ATGTTAACATGAACATGTGGATGGAAAAGGGTTTCTAAGGAAAGTAACCTCACAAGGTGATCTGATCATAAATTCCTAACTGGACAGGTCACGGCGGGTAGTCAGTCACCCCTGAGGCCTATAACTTCTTTAGTGAAAGGTTTTAAGCCAGCCCTGTCCACTGTTTCTGTGCATCTAGGTTAACACACCTTTGAAATGCCCCCTTTCGGACCCCTCAGGAGAGCACATAACCTTAACTGCCCTGAAATCTCATCTCCAAATTGCTTCCTCCCGCCTTCACCTAATCTTCTTTCGGTCTCTCCTTAATCTCAAATGCAGAGGAACATGTCAATGCCACAGGAGACACAATCAGATGAATCCAGGACACGGGACATTCTGCAAGGTAACTCCCTTGGACTCTTAAAAAAAAAAAATTAAAAATCAATGTCATGAAGGAAAGAAAAAGGGCAGGGGGACTTGACCTCCTTTCCTTTAGATTGTCGAATTTAAAAAACGACAACAGCCAACAAAACAATAGCCATCCGGTGTGAGTGAATTAAAATCAGACATTTGTTGTGGCTGTCGTTAGATCGGCAACGCGTTTGGATGCGACGCCTTCAGATTCTCTCGCAGGCCTGCGAGTTGGTTTCCCCCTTCTGGAAGGGGCTGCCTGCTGCGCAGTGAGGTTGGAAATGCAGGTGGGCGCTGCTACCATTTGCAGAGTTTGGGGGTACAGGCGAAACTATCACCACCAAGACGCACACTCCCCACTGGGGGAGGTCCCCGGGGTGCACAGCCAGGCAGAGGAGACAGTGGGTGATGCTTTACAACTACAGCTGCCAGGCAAAATCCCCATAAACTCCTGACACTCAAAAGCGAATATAAAAGAAACACAGAGCAACCAATCACATGAAATAACTTTAAGCTCTCCCGTGTTCGCTACGCTTCCGGGCACCTGCTGAACTCTTCTTAAGACGCATCAGGTTCAGTCTCCGTAGAGACTGTCAAAAATTGCCAATGCCGACTATATTTCAAGTCGTCATGGCGGGGTATTGGGAAAAGTTTTCAATTAGCAATAATCGCGCCTCGGATAAACCTCATTGGCTACGATACTGCCACTGCGCAAAGCTGGGGGCCGGCCCCCGAGCCACACTCCCTGACGGATGGCGACGGCTTTTTCACCGAGGGCGAGCGGCGGCCCGCAAGTTGGTGGATCTGACGCGTGCCCCTCGCCGCAGTTGTATTTACGACCCTCCTGCACGGGAGGCGTCTTGTCGTTGGACACCTCGCACACAAACGTTCAGATTTGGGGCCTGAGCGCGCACTCGCTGGGGATGCTGGGGAATTTTATGCAAATCGCCACAACGTCACCGAGGTGACAGTGTAGACTTGAATGTGGAGGGAGACGCGGGGCGGCGGGAAGGCAGGGAAAGCGAAGGGGCAGCGAGGGGCAGGTAGCAGGGGCGCGGGTGCAGATGCCTGGGGCAGGGGCTTAGAGGGAATATTTCCAGGGCAGTTACGGGTGCAGATGCCTGGGGCAGGGGTTTAGAGGGAACATTTCCAGGGCAGTTACGTTCCAAGGGCCGGCGTTGCAAACACGGAACGATGCAACGTAGGCAAACGAGAGCGGGGAACAAACCACTTTTCACAGGTAAAGATTTTGGAGAAACTAACACCCAGTCAGTCACAAGTAAGTGATACAGAAGCGTAAAGCCTGGGGCAGTGATGAGCAACAATACTCTCAGGTATGTACATGCTAAACCAAACGAAGAAAAAGAAACACCTTTTTTTAAAACTTCATTATTCAGTCTCCGTAGAGACCGTCAAAAATTGCCAGTGCCGACTATATTTCAAGTCGTCACGGCGGGGTATTGGGAAAAGTTTTCAATTAGCAATAATCGCGCCTCGGATAAACCTCATTGGCTACGATACTGCCACTGCGCAAAGCTGCCGAGCTCGGCCCCTGCGCATCATCGCCAATGAGCAAGGTTCCTAGTACAAAAAGGCGAGTTTGCGTCTCACGGGAAAACCTTCCGCTGTCGTTTGGTTGGAAGCGATACGGCCATATTAAGATCTCCCGAAAATGCACGGGTCGCTCCCGAAGATTCTCTTGCTTTATTTCGCGTCGCTAGGTTTTGGAGGAGGGTGGAGCAAAGCATCATGGGAGGGAGCATAACCTCGTGGAGACTCTGAATGGGGCCGGTGAGAAATGGGCTCAGCGTTCGGGTACTCGTCGCTTGACTCCCGATTCACAGTGTAACTGTCCTCTCCAAAATAACTTTTTTAAAAAAAATTTTATTGTGGCAAAATACACATAACATATAAAATTACCGTTTTGACCATTGTTCAGTATACAGTTCAGTAGCATCAAGCACATTTACATTGTTTGCAACCATCACTGCTCTAGATCTCCAGAACTTTTTCATCACCCCGAACTGAAACTCGGTACCCATTAAACACTAACTCTCCATTGCTCCTACCCCCAGCCCCTGGTAACCTCGATTCTACTTTCTGTCTCTCTGAATTTGACTTGATTAGTCCAGGTATCTCCTAAAAACAGAATCATCCAATATTTCACCTTTCGGGTCTGGCTTGTTTCATATCATAATGTTTTTAAGGTCCATCTATGTTGTATATTTCGGAATTTCAGCCCTTTTTATGACTAATATTTTATTGTATGGAATTTCTTTTTTTTTTTTTAATCCTCACCAGAGGATTTTTTCCCCCACTGCTTTTCAGAGAGAGTGGAAGGGAGAGGGAGAGAGAGAGAAACATCCACGTGAGACAGACATAAATTGGTTGCCTCCCTCACACACCCTGACTGGTGCTTAGCCTGCAACCGAGGTACTTGCCCTTGACCAGATTCGAACTTGGGACCCTTCAGTCCACAGGCAATGCTCTAACCACTGAGCAAAACTGACTAGGGCTATTGTATGGAATTCTGTTTTCCATTCAATCATTCTACAATGGACATGCATTGCTTCTTTTTTTAAAAAAATGTTTTTATTTTTTTTAATGTTTTTTTATTGATTTCAGAGAGAGGAAGGGAGCATGAGAGATAATGAAGCATCCACGTGAGAGAGAAACATCGAGGGGCTGTGTCCTGCAGGTCCCCCACTGAGGATGGAGCCCACAACCTGGGAATGTGCCCTGACTGGGACTCAAACCCGAGAATTTTCGGGGCATGGTGGGTCTCTCAACCAACTGAGCCACACTGGCCAGGGTGCTTCTACCTTTTGACTATAGTTACTAATGCTTCTATGAACACTGGCATACAAGTTATCAGTATGAGTCCTTGTTTTCAATTCTTTTGTACATATACCCAGAAGTGGAAATTCTGGATCATATACTACTTCTATGTTTAATACAGAAGGGTTTTCTGTGGACATCTTAAATTAGGAGAGGCTGAAAAAAGAGAGTATTTCCACAGAAATGTTCACAGCTCATGAAGTTTGAAGTAACTTTCACTGTCATTCCCTATTTTCCCTCTACAAGTGGGAGGCTGTTAGAAACTGCTATCTGGATCCCCCCCCAACTATATTCTCCTAAATATTCTTGTTTTTTGTTACTCATTAAGATGCAAACAGTAGTCTCTGAGAAAGTGAAATTCTCCTCAACATTATTAAAAAAATTCAAACAGGAAACATTTAAAGTATCTCTCAGTGAATAATCATGCAGTTGGCATCTAGATGCAAAAATGAACATCTTTAAAAGGCCTGTATAATGCTGATATGCAATTAATATTTTTTCCCCCAGCGATAAGTGCCAGGGTAAGAAACAACCAGCAGAAAAAAATACAACACTAACAATCTGATTTATTTAGATTAATTGACTTTGATACAATCCAGGACTTAGTGTTTAATTCCTGGTGTGGTGGAGTTGTGAGAAATAAGAAGACTAGGGTTATTCAAAGACCTTAGCCCTTGAGAATGTCTTGATTGGGCGGCTCATTACATTCTGTCAGTAGCTATCAAAGGAAATTGTGTTTCACCAGCTGTCTTGGATGACTTCATCCTTTCCAGCACTATGAGAAAAATGGAAAACTTAGCTAACTTCTCCCAACATGAGATTCTTTGGGGCCTAAAAGCACAATAGTTGTGTATGCCTAGCCAGTTTTCTATTAATGATATTCATTCTGCTTGAAGAACTGAAAAAAATAACATGGGTTTGAAATCTTTCCTAATAAAATTTGGCTGCTCTGGAAGGAATGCCACTTTTTGGGCGTTTCCATGGTTTTGATCAAATACCCATGTGTGCAGAAAATGTTCTAGATTTCAATTGTTTTGACTTAGTAAAAGTTTCCAGCCTACATTTTGGTCCTTTCTTTCAGCCAGTGTAGACAGATTAAGAAAGGCACAAAGGGCTGTCATGTCAGGTGATTCTCCCAGTTTAGGACCTATCCAAGCTGTTGGGGGAGGCACTGCTTCCAAACTACTAAATTCTGTTACTTTACCAATATTTACCTCCCTACATTCAATGAGAGGACCAGGAGTCAAATTCTGACTCCAGCTTCCATATTGTTCCCCTGGGATTCAGTTCATCTTAAACTGGTTCCTTAGGTGGTCTTCAAGGTCCCTGCTAGCTGCCCTTTAATTATGTTCTAAAACACAAATTGATTGATGTCTTATTTAGGTGATGCTATAGAGCAGCAGTTCTCATAGACTACACATTTGAAACAACTGGGAAATTTGTAAACCGACTTGATGCCCAGGCATTTCCCCGGATCAATTAAATCAATCTCTGGGAGTGAAAACCAGGCATTGTGTTGGTTAATTTAATAAAAACACAAGATGGAAAATAAAATTGGAGAAGCCAAGTGGGTAAACACATTAGTCCCTGTATATTAGATTTGGCTTTAACTGTTCATTAATGTGTAAAACAACAATTTTTCAGGTACTTGTGAATGTACTTCTTGACAACCCATAGCAAGGTGGGAGCTTGGTTCTGTCATGGGAAGAGGAAAGGATCATAAACACTGAAGTTGAGGGCGAATCAATCTAGTAAGGCTTCTATCTTAAGAAAGAATGAATTCCTAAGTTAGCGCTGTTTGGATGCACGATTTTGTACTCAAGACATTGACATGAAGCCCCAAATACTTCTCAGAAAAGGCAATGCATTGGCTTAGGTGAGAGCAGCCCTTCTCCAACCAAGGTTCAAAACCTCTGACCAAGAAGAGCAGACAGGGGGCGCAACTGGACAATCTGGTTGTCTCAACTGTGAAACCTAGAGAATTGTGGGACTTGTAGTTTTTCTTGCACTGTTTAGGCTTGGTAAACTACATTTCCCAAAATGCAAATGTAGCCAGTCAGTGCCACCATCGGACTTGGAAGCGTCCTTAAAGCTGTGAAAGGTAAGTGAGCTCGGTGCGGGCTACGGGTTTCTATACGTTGTGGTTCCATTTCTCCTCTTTGCCTTTTGGTGGGACCTGGGAGAGAGCAGCTTTTCTAATAGAACGTGTTTTCAGCGGGGTTTCCCAAGCCTTTTGGTGTCAGGAATTAGGACTCTGTATTTATTTAGCTGTTCACGTGTTGCTGTGGAACGTCAAGGAGAAATCAGGGTCCTGAACCCAGATCTGGAACTCCAAGCATAAAATAATGTTTACCTATGGGGCGCGTGTCACTAGAGAATGTCTGCATTCTATCAAATAATGCCAACGCCTTCTTTTTATAGCTAGAAAAGTGTACACACAGGAATAGAATGCCTTGCCAGGCCTCACTACTCTTTGCTGTGTGCAATAGCAGTTTGCAAATGAGAGTAAACTGAAAGAATATGGGAAAAATGAAAAATAAAAGGTGTGGGTGTGCTTGATTATATTAATGAAATAAAAAGACTGAAAAGTCTGAGCAACAACTTTATCAACACATGGCATACTAGAACTCAAATGTGCTTCACTTAGTGTATGAAGAAATAAGATCATTCTAATTTATAAAATGGGATGTAGGTTTATGGAACACACAGTTCCCCAACGAATGGTATGAACTAAAATACAAATATATTCCTCTGATAGAGACATCTTTAGATGTAGTTATAGATGGAATAACAATGAGGTATTAAAGGATACTGGGGTAAGCCATTAACCTCTGGAAGTTTATCAGGAATTCACTTCTGACCAGCTGGGTGCTACTGGGAGAGAAACAATAGAATAGGCCTTAGGTTATGCTGCTTTACCAATTTTTACTTTATCTTCCCTCCTTTATTTTTTTATTGATTGATTTTTACAGAGAGAGAGGGAAATCAATTTGTTGTTCCACTTATTTATGCATTCATTAGTTGATTCTAGTATACAGGAATTGAACCAGCAACTTTTTGATGCAGGGAAGGACGCTCAACCGACTGAGCCACATGGGCCAGGGCTGGCGATAGGTTCTTAATAGGATGAAATAGTCCAGTGTGGAGACAAGATTTTATTTTGTGGAAGGTGGTAGAACTTGACCAAAACAGATTAAAAAGATAATAAGATAAAATAAAATAAAAAGATAGTAAAAAGGTAGGCTTGTTGCTTAGGGTTGGACTTCATAGGACCCAGGAGGGTTTGCTGGAATCAGTTTGTACCTATGAGGGCCAGTTGTCAAATAGTCAGGAATTTGCTAGCCAGTAATTGAACCACTGGGAGCCTGAAATTGGCCGTGATGGGGGAAGCCAGTTTCACACCACACCCCTAGCAAGGGTCAGTTTTCTCTATAAGCCTGGAGCCCCAGTGCTCAATGCATCCATGAGCCATAAGATCCTGAGCTAGCTCACACCCTTCCAAATTTTACAAAAGATTGATTTGGGTTTCAAAGTAAGATTATAAATACACTCTAGGGGTGTGTGGAGGGAAGGATAGAATAGGCCTTAGGTTGTGCTGCTTTACCAGTTTTTACTTTATCTTCCCTCCTTTATTTTTTTATTGATTGATTTTTAGAGAGAGAGAGAAACATCAATTTGCTGTTCCACTTATTTATGAAAAAAATAAACAACAAAAAAAGTTTCTAAAACAAAACAACAACACTTCCCTCCCCCAAGCTCACAGATAGAGAACAGATTAGTGGTTGCCAGAGGGGCAGCGGCGGGGGAGGGGGGG